TCACACCAGCGATAAAAACAATAATGCAACTTAAATGCCCGTGCTTAAAGACAAGGCTGAGTAACTGTTCTGGGAAGAGATTAAAATGATTTGTGAGCGTTATCATTCTAATTCTGCAAGTATGGAAGAATATCGGATACAAATTGTTCCTTGAAAAGCATGGCTCTTCAAATGCTTTCATATTCTAAATGTGGCATGAAGCAACATAAAAATCGGAACGGATGTTTATGCCACATGTTCGTGTAGCCCCATATTCATACTCCTGTGTACGGTGCTTGTAACTTTAACAAGACGAGGCCAAATTTATTATCATTTTGATAATTCCAGAACCTTGCAGTACACACCATTACTTTATATGCTAGATGATCAATCTGTTCTGATTGATTCCAAACCGATCCTTTCACAGTGCAATTGCATGACCAGAACTCAACTTTATCTTTAAGTTTTGAATAGTACACGGTATCAGCAGGTTAATGTCCTGGGTATATTCCCTTTGAACCTGTTTTTTTTCCATCAGACTAACAACAGCACAACAGTTTTTTTTCTACTGTTGCCTGAGTTCAGTAATAATATACATAATGCCAAGTGGCCTCCCTATTTATCATGGCTGACTTTGGAATGAATGTACGTGCAGCATGGCGATAATAGCAAGTTCATGATTATATAGATAGCTTGCATCGCAATTAGAACAGACTTACCATGTAGCGAGCACACATGAAATATCATCCATATATTGTATGAAATGCAGAGCAACTGTATAAATCGGGCCGCCATTGTCATTCATGTGGCGACAACGATCCAAATATACGCTATGTTGTGACAAAGTAAAACCAAACTGGCTAAATTGTGTCTAAAGATGGCACTGGATAATGCATACAGCCAATGCATAAAGTCTTTCGTCTGCGGCTCTATTGTCAACGAAACGGAGTTTATTAAAGCCTTTGGTTAATTCCGCTTTTTGCTACGGAAGGCAGCCAGTGAAAATGAATTCGTTTAATACAATTATGGAAACGCAAGCACTACTTTAAACAAACATAACTTTGTTATTCCTAGCTCATTTTTCCCTGATTGAGGTGTCATATGGAAGGGCAGAAACTCAACTTTCTGGAAATGTAATTTTCTCTTTGAATCTCAGATACCGACCGGCAAATTACTTTTTGGTTTATTCTCTTTAATCACTCATGCGTGAAATATGCATTAGATGGGTTGCATCAAATGAAAGAAGAGGATCTAAGCTTTACAAATATGTGTCATTTATCAATTATAATTGTGATTAAGTTATGATGAAATAGCGATAGTTCTCAGTTTCGTTTTTGCCTGGGTCGCACTGTATATTGGATCATTTGCACCACCTTTACCATTTATTTATGTTGTAGACTCCCTTGCAACTTGATTATCTGAGAGAATGTATTTATATCATACCCTTTAAATTAAAGATTGGATAATGCAGATAATCAGATGTTGATAAAAACAAGGTAAACATCGTGGGGCATCTTTGATGTGGCGTCAGACGGACAAGTGAGGGAACAAAGCGAGCGATGAGAAGGGTTTTAGAGGGGGTGCCCCCCCCCCCACGTTAAAAGACTTTTGAATCTATATTTTTGTAATCGTGCATTTTGGAGCATATTTATGGTATGTCTTATCGACTTAAAAGGGTATTAATGATTTAGGAATGGTAGGAGTTTTGCTCTCTCAAAATTTGCTCTAGATATTTTAACTCAAAATAATCATTCAGGTTCATCAGTTCAGTTATGTTTTAAGCATATATGAATATCATAAACATGCATTTACTCTCAAATATATCCTGTCAAGGCACACATTTTGAAAATATTGTATGTGAAGTCACCTCTCTCTCCGTCTCTCATGGTAAAGTTGTTGTCCACTTTTTGCATTTAAAGCCCCTCCCCTTTTTGCTCACCCAATTATGAGACTGTGACATTTTCATGCACTTTGAATAGGAAAATGACAACAACTTTACCCATTACCAGGTTGAAAAAATGGTAAAGTTGTGACACAGGTTTTTTCACCATGATTTGACATTGAAAAGTCAAGAGAATATAATTTTTGCAGAGGGAATAATCCATTCCCTTATCAAAATTACTATGATACAGTAATCCACTTTTATTCCCTCTCCAAATTTGAAAAAGTGTCCTCTTTAACATAATACTAGACAACCCCTAATGTGACCAACATAGTGAAGCAAATGTAAAATATTGTTTTTCCTTCTACTTGAAAGATCAAACTTTTTTTTCACTTAATCTTATCACACATTGTTCTATTTTGGTATTAGTACTTAGATAATATATTTATGAAAGTAATTTAACAGTTTGTATGTTGATGTAAACAGCGATATTTTTTTAAATAATTTTTTCTCAATGGAATTTATTGGGCATCATAGTCATTTTCTCCAGAAAATATGACCATAACATGGTAAAGTTGTTTCACAGGAACCAGTCAATTCTACAGTTTTCTTCAATGTCATTGCTCATTTATATAGAAAATATCAATCATATAGCCTCAACAAAAAAATTTACCCTAAAAAACAACAATTTTGACTCTAAAACTCTAACCCTAATCGTGTTACTTGAAAATTTCGCCTTTGTTTTCTATTGTTTAGTTCACTATTTTGGTAAATGTGTGCCAGATAAAAATGACAGTAAAATGCAAATAATACAGGGAAATGCCCTATTATCAAGATTTCCTATATTTTGAATATCAACATTTAATGAAAATGATCATCCCATCCTCCTAAAGCTTAAAAGTAGTAGAGAAAATATGTTCTCACTTTTTCATTTTTTAAAGTCCCCAAAAAATAATTATAGCGCCCTCTACTGCCACCAAAAGTTTTCTAAAGTAATGCCTTCTACTTTTTGTATTAACTATTCTTTTATTCTTATAATGTGTGTAAATAAGACCAGTCAATAATACTACATGCTGCATTTTAGTTACATGTGTATCATTTTCATAGCATTGAATTTTTCATTATTCAAGATTGATAATAATCACATCTACAAACAGTTTTAATCTCTTTTATTTCAAAAAATACATGTAATTTAAACAATTTCTCATACGGTGATAGTTTTCTATCCCTTATTTTTTTTTTTCCTTCAAAGCAAGCATTATGCTTTATAATAACTACTGGACACCCATGGCTTTTAAATACTGTATAGCGGAACTTGAAATTGAGGAATAATGCCTTTTAAAAAACGGCAGTGAAGCTAGAGGGGGCAGAGAAGGGAGCCTGTGCCCCCCCCCCCCTCTTTCTCGTCCTATGCCACTACAAAAGTACAATTAACATACAGATTCAGTTTGCAACCCAAAATCTGAGTTATTTGTACAGCGCATTTGAACATGTATATGGAAAATACGATATAAATTCAGTATTATTATAATTATTATTATTATTTGAACACTGTTCAGCCACTGATCCATCAAGCCCCAAATAATGTAGGCCCAATGTTCATTTCTGTTAGTAATGTACCAATCAATAGCATTTCAAAATCTTTATCTGCATAATTACATTATTTCCTCTTTGATGACCACCCCCCCCCCCCCCCACATAGTCTTTAAAAAAACACGACTTTTGTTGTTGTTTTGTTCCTGTCACATAATGTTCTTGAAGGTATATCTGCTTTATGTGCATCTTATATGTATGCCTAACAACCAATAAGGAGGGCAAACAGAAATGAATATTTATCACCACTATTGGTTGTTGTTCTTGTTGATATTTCATTATGTATCACACTGTTAATGTTTGATTTTTATGTTCCTGGAAATCATATTAATAATTAAGTAAACTAAATCAATCAATCAATCAATCAATCAAAATCATCATCACCCTCATAATTATCATTATCTATTAGATTATCTGATCAACAGCATATCTCGACAAAATGAATATGTCGATTAAGAGATTTGATTTGTATTGTAACTTGAAAAACCATTCTGCTAAATAATAGTACACCATGCAAATGCAATGTTTGGTGAAATTTTCATCTTCAACACACAATCAACATGAGCATCATCTTCACGATCATCAGATTGTCACAATCATTCCCATCACCATAGCCATCTTCACTACCAACACTTATGTCATCATAAACGACATTAGGATATGTAGAACAAAAATATACAAAAGATGTTATATTTGTTTTAAACATATTGCATTGTGTAATGTTTTTAATGGTTGAATGACAAACAAAAATATATAACAGTATAAAGCGGTCACAGTCATAACTTTTTAGACAGTTTTCATATTAAGCATAACAAAAACAAGGGTTAACAACTGTAGCCGAAAAAACCCACAGAGCTTTACCAAAATGTTCATTTACATTCACAGTAACGAAAGAAACAGAATCTGTTTTTTGCGGTTATTTGAGATTTAATAGAGGATGTTTTCTTGTTACCCTGAATATCAACATCATGACAATAACAACAATTACAACACAAACTTTCCCAACTGAATATAATAATAATATCAAATATTTAGGAGCGCTAAAAACAATAAGTACCATAGCGCTTACAAATACATATATATATGAAAAGAGGACAACAAAATGTTCTCACATGAAGTAGATCCCATAGATCACTGGGGAAAAGGGTAAGTTTTGAGGGATCTTTTGAAGGTGGCAAGACAGGTAATTTCCCTTATAGAAAGAGGGATGTTGTTCCAAGTCTTTAATGCAGCTACTGCAAAACGTTTTTCAGCTGTTGAGAGTCTAGATTTGGAATGATAAGTTTACATGCGTCGGCTGCTGAGCAAAGATTCCGAGATGGTGTAATGTGTATATATACAAGGATAAACCGTTGTCGTACTTTGACTTGACATGTTACACTGCTACAATCCACCCCTAGGAAGGACCCAGGTATTAATTTTTTGATCCATTTATACAAGTATCTGCATATGCATACATTGGAGCATGGAGATACCATGTCCAACTCTAAGAACTCTCTGCATCGTGGCCACCAACAGACAAGACTTTTGTACACAACCCCCCCCCCCCCCCCCCCCCCCCCCCCCGGCCATAAAAAAGGCGACACTACTCCGTGCATTGAACAGGCGAACAGTATTACTTTCTTGCCCGGACCAGGGAATACAGGTTATACATAACCCCCCCCCCCCCCCTTGCAAAGAAGGCAAATAGGTCCCTGCATTGAACAGGCGAACAGATGAAAATACAATGCCATTTTATTTTGTTGACAAGCGACAGATTCCTTAGTGTTACATGATTAATTGTTTGTAGAAAGCCTTCGCTGAGCATCCTAGGGGTCCTTTCCTAGACATCGGGTCATACACAGCATTGGTCTATAAGGAATAGAAAATGAATTATATGTTAATTTCAATTTATGCACCATATAAAAAATGTACTTCTATGATTCAATTATATGTATTATTTTTTTCATATAATGGCGAGTTTGACCTCATTCCAAGTAGCAACAGCTAACTATGAAATGGACTTGAAGGGTGTTCTACAAAGAGTTAAGTTTGACTTAAAGTCATACGTAAGGGCCAATTTGCATACGTTATTAAACGCAAAATCTCATTGGTAGATTAGGCAACTAGGACTTTAAGTGCCACTTTAAAGGTAAATGTCCCATTTGCAGGCCAAATAAATGAAAAGATTAAATTCCAATGGCATTTTGAAGATATTACTAATTTATAACTTCTGTCAAAAGTAAAGGGCTTGAAAATGCCTTTTTGTGGGAAAATAACGACGATTAGTTGTCAAATCGACATTAGAGATTGCAATCACTGAAGTAAATTGTCTGATTTTCAGACCCTTGTACCGAATGGTCATATAATTTGTGCTGCACAAAGACCAGATCAGTTTAATTTTGGCCATTATAAGAAGTGGGTTATTGATGTAGACAAATGCTGCATGTTACAGCTCATTTATGTACTATGTTATTACCAAAGAAAAAAGAAGTCAGTCAGTCACTCAATGGTGTCCGACAGTGAAGTCTATTTATAAAGTAAACGGGTTTCCTTACATAATTTGAATACTAGGACTTTGCTAACGTTTAAATTTCACATATAGGACATACATGCCATATTCATGATTCCTGCAATGTTCTACATAATTTGATGTTGGTTGCAAAAGGGACACAGTATCTTTAAAGTCAAACTTAACTCTTTGGGAAACACACCCCTGATATTGTATAGGAGGCAGTCATAGTAGACCAGTTTAAAAACAGACTGAAAATTCACTTTTACTAAAGTGCATAGGGACTGAAAAGTGATATGAGCTATACAAATACAGTTTATTATTATCATTATCTATGCATCTAATACTTCACATAATTTAGCTGTAGTATATGACAATCATTATGCTTACCAATGCTCGAAATGGCCTTTTCTTCATCTTGGACGCATTTGAAAGGGCAGCCTGTAAAATGAGCTTGATCATTGTCTGCTCTCCATCTGGTTAGAGGAGTCTACGCTGACACGTTGTGTGCTGAAAGAAATGTGGAAAATATAATTTCTTACTCCTCAAAAAATAGATTTCTGTTTCTTTCCAATACTTAAAGGGATCCGGTAACTTTGTCTCAGATTTTGAAACAAAATCCTGGAATTAGCTCATGCTGCAATGATAATTATAAACCTTTAGGTCAGTAAGGAACCCCCATGGCTTTTACAAGCCGATCGCTTGTCTGATTATCAAGATGTTTATGATTGGAATTACAAATTTTGACACTACAGTCTATTGGGGAAAACGAGTGATGATTTTGAAGCGTGATTCTTTTAGGGCTTCAATATTACACCATATCACAGACACTGATAACATGTAGGGCCGTGCATCTCAGATTTAACATTGTTAAACGATGCCTTTAAAGTACCTACATACATATGCATGTATCTACTAGCAGTGACATTTGTTTACATGGCAAGTATTTTTTTCTTCTAAGTTTGGCGTAACAGAATTTTTGTTTACATTTTATCCCACAGAGTACCTAACATTTCATTCAAATAAATCTTACACACTGTACAAAAAAAATTCCTCTACAATATTTGTAAGTAGGATGGAAAAGACAGACAATTGCCCATTACAAATGTTTTATAGGAAATGTGTATAACAAAAAGAAAAATTATGCTTACATTTTCTTGGAAAGCAAAATTATTAATCATTTGAATATTGGTTTGGACTATTTATCATCTACAAGAAAGTTACAATCCACGTCTCATTTAAACACACTTTATTGTGGATATACAGTGTACTTTATAGAAAACAGCCCTACATGTATTTCAGGTTCCCCCGGTATCTATACTAAGGTGAGTTTTGAGAGCTTTTGTCACATAAGATTAAACTTGTTTACAAAATGCTGCCCTAATTTGGCAAAAGGAACAAGTGACAACAGTGACATTTCATGTAAAAGAGTAAAAGAGCAAAATGCATCTGTCATTTACACTGACCCCAATGCAATAGCATGTCTTGCCTAACATATCTCTAAGCAGGACGAAGAGCCCACTAGGTATAATATGTCTTTGCTTCCTTTTGACAAAGCAGGGCAGAATGTTTATTGGACAGTTAAGGATGTGTTTGGTTTCTACAAGCTGGTCTATAAGTACTGACAAATGTTTACAAGTTTAGGTACATTACTACATTTTAAATCTAAACTTATGATAAATCCATTTTAATCACACTCCCAAGTGTGATTTACTTACATGTGACTTTGTTGTGCTCAATTATATTAAATTGTGACAATTTCATAATTTTCTTGATATCCAAACATCCTGCAAGAAATACATATTCCCCCAAAAAGATAAGTTGCAAAAGTCTGCCCAAATAAATATTTCAATACCTTTTCAAGAAATTCCTTAGAAAATATCTATAGCTGGTGGTTTCTTCTATTAAGGTTAAAAGAAATGAGTTTTCAAGAAATAAATTTCACTAATTTCTCATGCTCAAATAATATAGAAATCAAAAGATAAAAAACTTTTAGGACAGTGGGAAGGGAACTATATTGTCATGGAAACATTTTTTTCTTTTAAAAATTAAATGTAGGGTGTCCTGTCATATATTAGCTATAATGACTGGATAAATTTGCATAGGGAACAATAGGGATTTTTTTCTTCTCATTTAATAACGTATCAAGATAATTCTTTCAAGCTTACCACAACTGCTTCCCCAATACTTGGTTGCCAACTTTGTACAACAGTAAGCTGTAAACGAAGAGGGAAACATGAAATCAGTATAATTGCATTAAATTCATAACATTCTATTTTGTTGCTTCTTATTTGAGTGTGATCAGTTAAGGGTGAGCATTCTGTCTTACAGAGAAGAACAAAGTTATCATAAGATCAATTCAAGGCCTATCACTACCTTGAAATTCATTAAAGTTGTTATTTCAATAGGTAAAATGCTTTTTTCTTGGGTCAAACTCATTGAATGTTAATGACTGATGATATAAGGTAAATACATACAAACAAATTGGGAACCAGTGCATTGCCTAATAATTTCCATATGTCACACCACTGTTCACATCATAACTTGCCTCAATTGCTTTTGTTAGGAATTATTGACCTAAGTTACATTAATTGCTTGCAGAAAAATACTTCTTTAACATTTATGGAAAAAATAAATTACACATTGTGCAGTTTTAATTAGTTTAGGACATATACTAAGTTTGTCTGTATTGACTACTCAATTATGAAAGGTGTACTGTTCATTGCAAGTACGTGTAGTTAAAAATGCTTATGTGATCTAACAGAGTAAAATATGAAGCTAATAGCAATTGTAGTCATCAAAACTCCTTAGAAAATTCACTTACAAACATAAATCTCTTTTGCATGTTATGAAAGACAGGGTACAATGTATTCTATGGTTTATTTTGGATGTTACACAATGTTAACATTTCAATCAGATCATCAATTTCTACAAACTCTACACTATAGATGTTTAATCAGCTTGCTTTGTTCTTTGCTATAAACTACATGTACAATGTGTCATTCAAGAATATCACTGAAACATGCATGTACATGTATGAACAAGCAAAACATTAACAATTACAACAACAACAAAATGTAAAAAGTTTCCCGGCCATTTTAAGTTTTAGAAAAAGGGAATCCTAATGCATTGTTCATCCTGAGAATTGGACATTTTACATGTATTTTGTATGTTTCAGGTTTTAATACTAGTTAGTAACAATAACGCTCTTAATCTTAATATGTATTTATCTATTTACTTGATGACCGATGGATGGATGGATGGATTGATTGGTTGGTTGAGTGATCTTTACTCTTGCTGTGCCGATATCATAAGTGACAAACAGTTTAGGTTAAACATGTATCTTAGATTGCACATTGCTCCAACATGTATTTGGATATCAAGATATTCAGAGCATAAATCAATCATTCTAGTTATCTGTGAAATGTGAAATATAATACATTATAGATTCATAAAAACATTTGTTTTCTTCTTGATCTTTCAAATTTCTGTTTGACAATAAACAATGGTTAAATAAGCAAGAGAAAAAGGACAAGCAGTATTAAAGCCCATTTACATGTATATTTCACACTGCATGTACCTTATAAATGTACAAAATACATTTGAGGAAGATACAATATATATGTTTAGGATCATTGAATAAGGTATTAATGCTGTTTTCTTTTATACATGTACATGTATGTAAATCTTGTTGGAAGGGTCAAGCGTTTGAAAGGTATTTGTCATTAGTACATGTGAGGGTAATGAAATGAAAGGAAAAATTTATGAATAAATTCATTTTGAAGAGGCTTCACCTTATTGCCCCCACAAATTGGTAATCCCTTTTCTTGTAATTTGGAAATTTGGCAGAATTACAGCCACATGAACATGTGTTTTACAAGTTTCTCTAATAGGAAATGGATACTAGAACTGATTATTGTTTTATGAATACATACTGTAAGCCCTTGTGCTAATCAATTGTATTTGTACATGTACATGTATGCAACCAATGAGTGTGTCTTGTAGAGTGCAAGCCTATTTCATAACATTTCTTGATAAATTGTTATCATTTAAGAGAAGGTTCATTGATTTTCAAAACTAACTTTATTGCAAAGCTAGGTGAAACTTTAATTGGACAAGGTTATCAAAATTCAATGCTTGGAAACATTTGAAGTAAGGATTATTATCAATTACAAAGCGCTTAAATACAGCCCCGGCATAGCACCTGAAGAGCTCTCTGAACACTTGAGATGTGTGACGTCACATTTTGAATATGATTTGCTCAAGCAAACGCTGTCCCATGACATCTCAAACATTTTCATTGCCTGTTTTTTCATCTTCTCTTCAGTTATTTCTCTCACTTCACTACCCTCAGGCTAAATGTTTAATCTATTGCCTCACTCTAAACCTCGTGCATGGTATTATTTTGATAAAAAATGCAGCGATTTAAAAATTAAGGAATCCATGTAACAAAAATAAGACGCCATTTTATTTTCAGCTGCATCCACGGTGGTATGTTCGGCATTTCAAGAGGAAATTTTTATAAATCACCCAATATGGAGTTGACCTCAAACTTGTACGATGGCCATCTGTTAGCTTACCAGTTTCTAGTGATACATAATTTGCCATATATATATATATATACGGACTTACAGATATATGTGATTTTCTTTGAACAGGCACTGTGAATGCAAATTTAAGTATTGAATAATGGCAGTAGTAATCCTTTCTACATAGATTAGTTACATGTACTTGGTGCTTTTTTAAAAGATATTGTAATATATTTTTAGATTTTAAGCTGGCTTTCGATTCAATCAACCATGTTCTTCCTTTCAAAACTTTATTGTTATGGAATTCGTGGAGTTACCCTCAAATTTATTTTGCAGTCATCTAAATGATAGAAAACAATTCACTGTTTTCGATTCTAAAACTTCAAGTTTACAGTCAGTTTCCTGTGGAATTCCGCAGGGGTCAATTATAGGCCCCCTGCTCTTTTAAATTCATTTAAATTATTTACATTCAGTCTCTCCCATTTTGAATTTTATACTGTTCACGGACGATACCAATATATTTTATAAGCATAAAGATGTCGAATGCCTGACCCAAAATCTGAACAATGAACTCCTAAAAGTTAGTGAGTGGATAAGCGCAAATAAACTGCAAATGTTATGTTGTTTTACTTTCCAAAGATGTGTGCTAGTGAAGTAAAAATATATATGAATGGGAATTTGATTAAACATACAAATTTAACAAAGTTCTTAATATTGATAAAGATAAAGTGGAAAGCACACGTCTATGAAGTTCTATGCAAAGTGTCTAGAACAATAGGAACTATGAGTAAACTAAAAGACATCTTGCCAACCAATATTCTTACAATGTTATACAACTCACTAATCTTGCTTTACATATCCTACTGTAACATTATATGGCTTTTTGTAAACAACATTTACTTGATCATATTTTCCTCACTAATCTTGCTTTACATATATCCTACTGTAACATTATATAGGGGTTTTGTAAACAACATTTACTTGATCATAATTTGCTTGATTTTATCACACTTATATATCTGTAGCATATCCATGTCATGTACACTGGGTATTGTTTAAGTGGGTGATTTTGAGCTTTTGGTTATCTACCAAATAGTTTAAATTGACCATCTACATTCTTTGGTTATATGACATCATTTGGAACACCCTCTATGAAAATGAAAACCTGATGATTTGCAAACACACAACAATAAAAATATCAAGAGGAGAGGTTGAAAAATTGAAATCTTACATCTATATTTGCCCCTCATTTAAACTACTGTAGTTAAAGTATGAAAATGTCTGTTAAGTGTTAACAGTCTAATGTAACGTCCGAAACGTGCTAACAGCATACCAGAAAGTGCTGTTAAAATGGCTGAATAATTTTTACGAGTCCCTTTTGTTGAGATTTTTTCAGATAAAGTACAATTATGGATTTACTGTTTAAAGCAGCAAGCAATGCCTTGCATCACAAAGTGTGGCTTCAATATTGTATGTTTTATAAATCAATTTCGCAGAAAGTTGAGATATTTTACAGAAAATTTGATTTACTTTTTTAGCATCATATTTCTTAATATCTTTATATTCAAACCTATATAAAGTTATCAAAATAGTTTCCTTAACAGGAGTGTTCATTGTGAAATCGTAACTTGCAGATATGATCAAAAATGGTGTTAACAATGAAATTGTGTAATGTCCGAAACAGCCTTCTTGTGCTTACACAAAAATGATTGGATAAGAAAGACCTGATTTGTGTTTAGACTTGTGTTAAGACTTATGATAACTCATTTAATAAACATTTATGAACTCCAGATATCCTAAAATATGGATTATCATCATTAAAATGGTATTTCTTGATTTAGACATTAAAAGTAAACTGTTAACAGAAAATTGGTTTTAACTTTAAAATAAATATTGTAATGATGCATTGCAAAATTTCTTTGTTTTGGTGGTTAGCTGCCTTGAGATGTTCAAAAATGTTATGATAGATAGTTCCTGCAGTTCATATCTTCTGCTACCTCTAATGAAAATTGTTTCGGACGTTGAGACAACTTTTTCAATTTTTGACTTTATTTCTAATATGCACTACTATAATTTGATTTCATTTCATTTTCATAGAATCACTTGGAGTAACTAATAAGCTTATTCAAACTATATACAATCTCATTAATTTATTTTTCTAGTGAGTTAATTGGGGATCTACATTGTTTACAGAAAATGTAACATCTGAAGCAACATTTTCAATTGTACTGTTCCATCAAAATACAGGAGATGATTCAGATTACTGTTAACCTTCTTTAAAGTCCCTGTTCAAAGAAAATCACAAATATATGGCAAATAACGCTTCACTAGAAACTGGTAAGCTAACAGATGGCCATCGTACAAGTTTGAGGTCGACTGCATATCGGGTGATTTATAAAAATACATATAAAACCACCTCCATTGCATCTGGGATATACGAGATATTCGCCAGAAAAATAACGATGTTTTAATGATGTCACATTATGAACCATCCCTGCCCAAGCAGACGACATCCCACAAAAAATGAACATAATTGCAATGCTATTATTTCTCAAATTATAATGAGTTTAGTGAATATAAATGTGATGGCATTTGACACCATTCAAAAAGGGGTATGAAACCGATTCTAAATTCTTTTATTTGTAAATACACAGGATAGGGGTTAATGATCAATCAAAGAAACCACACTTTCAAATTGAAAAAAACCCTGAATGATAGCATGGACAGCATATGTTCCCTTTTGAAACGCCGAACTACCACAGTGTATATGCAGCTGAAAATACAATGGCATCTTATTTTGTTTACAAGCAATGGATCACTTTATTTAAGCGTTTTGTAACTGATAATAATCGATACTTTGAATGTTTCCAAGCTTTGAATTTTGATAACCTTGTCCAATCAAAGTTTCACCTTTGCAATAATGACAATAAAGTTAGTTTTTAAAATCAATGAACCTTCTCTTTAAGATCCAATTATGCTCATTAATCATCAATAGAAAATAATCATATTGTTTGTAGCTACATATTTTTTTCAGCTCCAACCAAAAATGGTATGTCAATTTTGTTACAAAATTCTGTAAACAATTTGCTGTTCAGGGATACCTCATGCACATAAAGCAAAGTTGACAATTTTTCATCAAGCTATGGGAGGTCAATCTAGGTCCATACTACAAGAAAAATTGGCAACTGATTTCTAATACTTTATCTTTGAAAAGTTTCAGGCTCTCAAAGAGCCATTTAGCTATTTGGTTTTTAAGAAAACAGTGAGTGCCTTATAAAATCTAAAGTCTTTTTGGAAATTCTGAATATATCTGATAGGGAAGTCAATTTCCCTGACTAACATTGGCAAGTGATTGTATTAGACAAGTTCATGATGTTCTTATATGAAGAGCAAAAGAGTACTGGGAAGTCAACACAAGATTTCTATCTCCCACTTTGAGAGACTGAGAATATCACTGATTCTTATTTGAATAAGTAATGATGGGAACTTAACTTTATCAATTATCAGTACACCTGCGATACCCTCCACAATATATCCTAAAACAATCCATCATATCTAATTATGTCTTACAGGCCTTCCAACTACAAATAGTTCTTTGACATTAACTAATCACATTGATAAATGTGAAGATAAATTGCAATCACAATTTGTGAAACAAAATCACCATGATAATGTCAAAACTGTGGACAACTAGGTTTATGAAAATTACATAAGTGAGCTTCAAAGCTTTTGAAATAAAAGAGAGAGCATTTTGAGAGTTCACATCAGGCAACCAGAGGCTGCATAACAATGGGCCTGGAAGTAGGTGTGGATGGGGGGGGGGGCTCATTTGTACACCAAACAAAAAGGTCCCCCTTCCACACTTATATAGTCCGAGCTCGATGCTTGGCTGCACTTGCAACATATTTTAATTTGCAAAAGCAAAAAACAAAAGATTGCCCTTAAAGAATAAATGGCCCTTTTTACATCATTCAAAACAGCTATATTGAGGAGAATGGGACATTATTGGCATTAACTGCCTGAACATCATTAAAAACACAATCCATCTTCAAAAGTAAAGAAGAATTCACTGTTGACAATAACAGTGTTGTATAAAACATTTTGCTTTTGGACATATTTAGGATTGCTGTATATTCCATGAGAAAACATCATTAAAAATAGGCATCATTGCAGGGGGGGGGGGGGGGGGATTCCCTTTGTAAACATACTGTAAGTAAATTAGAGCAGTAAATGAAAATGAGGAATATCGGTGCTCAAACCTGACTTGCAGAACTTTTTATGAGGGGTATTTACATATCAATACACTAGCCAGAAACTTACCACAATCAAATCGCTTCTTGATCCAGAAGGAACATCCTTACATCCAGGCTCCTATTTGTAGGACATAAACAAAAATGACAGGGGCATCGTTCATGGCAGGTAATACAAATGGAAGTAAACATTAGAAAATCATAAGTTTGAAAACAGTTTATAGGTAACGTTGTACAATGTAATTCTTGGTTAAAGAATTTCATTTCATTTCATTGATTGGTTCAACCATTTTTTTTAAAACAAACATTCAAAACTACAAGCTCGAAGGCTTGACTGCACCTGCAACATATTTTAATTTGCAAAAGCAATAACAAAAAGAAGCTGATATGCTTTAAAAGACAAACAAATTCAATAGGAATAAAGTGAAAGGACATGAAGATTTAAGGTACATAAAATGTTTGAAAGAGTTACAAAGACCTACTCTCAGGATTACTATTTTAAGTTTTAAGAGTCACATACAAATAAATATTCATAAATCAAGTTTGACTGATGATGTCTCTCGTATAACAATATCCTTGAATTTGGTGTGAACTTAAATGGTGTTTATTCCCCTTCATAATGATGCCCCATTTGTAATGATTATCTGTATGTAATCATGGAATGTGCAACAAACATGAGTCTAAGGCAAAATTAAAAGTGAAATGTTGCAAAATGCATTGTAATTGTCAGGAACGCATTCTACATTTGTTTGAAAGATGTTGAGGCCTTGCAAAGTAATTATATGCAGGACTAAAAGCTGTAAACTGACAGACTTGCAACAAATGTATGATGTACTCAAACACAATGCAACAAATGTATGATACTCAAACACAATGACAATTTCTCAATTAGCTGATTACAAATGCATTTCATCTTTATACAAACAAAGTTTAAAAACAAGATTGCCCTTAAAGAATAAATGGCCATTTTCACATCATTCAAAACAGCTATATTAATGAGAATGGGACATTATTGGCATTAACTACCTGAACATCATTAAAAACACAATCCATCTACAAAAGTAAAGAAGAATTCCCTGTTGACAATAACAGTGTTGTATAAAACATTTTGCTTTTGGACATATTTAGGATTGCTGTATATTCCATGAGAAAACATCATTAAAAATAGGCATCATTGCAGGGGGGGGGGTTCCCTTCGTAAACATAAGTAAATTAGAGCAGTAAATGAAAATGAGGAATATCAGTGCTCAAACCCGACTTGCATAACTTTTTTATGAGGGGTATTTACATATCAATACACTAGCCAGAAACTTACCACAATCAAATCGCTTCTTGATCCAGAAGGAACATCCTTACATCCAGGCTCCTATTTGTAGGACATAAACAAAAATGACAGGGGCATCGTTCATGGCAGGTAATACAAATGGAAGTAAACATTAGAAAATCATAAGTTTGAAAACAGTTTATAGGTAACGTTGTACAATGTAATTCTTGGTTAAAGAATTTCATTTCATTTCATTGATTGGTTCAACCATTTTTTTAAAAACAAACATTCAAAATTACAAGCTCGAAGGCTTGACTGCACCTGCAACATATTTTAATTTGCAAAAGCAATAACAAAAAGGAGCTGATATGCTTTAAAAGACAAACAAATTCAATTGGAATAAAGTGAAAGGACATGAAGATTTAAGGTACATAAAATGTTTGAAAGAGTTACAAAGACCTACTCTCAGGATTACTATTTTAAGTTTTAAGAGTCACATACAAATAAATATTCATAAATCAAGTTTGACTGATGATGTCTCTCGTATAACAATATCCTTGAATTTGGTGTGAACTTAAATGGTGTTTATTCCCCTTCATAATGATGCCCCATTTGTAATGATTATCTGTATGTAATCATGGAATGTGCAACAAACATGAGTCTAAGGCAAAATTAAAAGTGAAATGTTGCAAAATGCATTGTAATTGTCAGGAACGCATTCTACATTTGTTTGAAAGATGTTGAGGCCTTGCAAAGTAATTATATGCAGGACTAAAAGCTGTAAACTGACAGACTTGCAACAAATGTATGATGTACTCAAACACAATGCAACAAATGTATGATACTCAAACACAATGACAATTTCTCAATCAGCTGATTACAAATGCATTTCATCTTACAAAGTTTAAAAACAAGATTGCCCTTAAAGAATAAATGGCCATTTTCACATCATTTAAAACAGCTTTATTAATGAGAATGGGACATTATTGGCATTAACTACCTGAACATCATTAAAAACACAATCCATCTTCAAAAGTAAAGAAGAATTCACTGTTGACAATAACAGTGTTGTATAAAGCATTTTGCTTTTGGATATATTTAGGATTGCTGTTTATTCCATGAGAAAACATCATTAAAAATAGGCATCATTGCAGGGGGGGGGGGGGATTCCCTTCGTAAACATAAGTAAATTAGAGCAGTAAATGAAAATGAGGAATATCAGTGCTCAAACCTGACTTGCAGAACTTTTTATGAGGGGTATTTACATATCAATACACTAGCCAGAAACTTACCACAATCAAATCGCTTCTTGATCCAGAAGGAACATCCTTACATCCAGGCTCCTATTTGTAGGACATAAACAAAAATGACAGGGGCATCGTTCATGGCAGGTAATACAAATGGAAGTAAACATTAGAAAATCATAAGTTTGAAAACAGTTTATAGGTAACGTTGTACAATGTAATTCTTGGTTAAAGAATTTCATTTCATTTCATTGATTGGTTCAACCATTTTTTTAAAAACAAACATTCAAAATTACAAGCTCGAAGGCTTGACTGCACCTGCAACATATTTTAATTTGCAAAAGCAATAACAAAAAGGAGCTGATATGCTTTAAAAGACAAACAAATTCAATTGGAATAAAGTGAAAGGACATGAAGATTTAAGGTACATAAAATGTTTGAAAGAGTTACAAAGACCTACTCTCAGGATTACTATTTTAAGTTTTAAGAGTCACATACAAATAAATATTCATAAATCAAGTTTGACTGATGATGTCTCTCGTATAACAATATCCTTGAATTTGGTGTGAACTTAAATGGTGTTTATTCCCCTTCATAATGATGCCCCATTTGTAATGATTATCTGTATGTAATCATGGAATGTGCAACAAACATGAGTCTAAGGCAAAATTAAAAGTGAAATGTTGCAAAATGCATTGTAATTGTCAGGAACGCATTCTACATTTGTTTGAAAGATGTTGAGGCCTTGCAAAGTAATTATATGCAGGACTAAAAGCTGTAAACTGACAGACTTGCAACAAATGTATGATGTACTCAAACACAATGCAACAAATGTATGATACTCAAACACAATGACAATTTCTCAATTAGCTGATTACAAATGCATTTCATCTTATACAAACAAAGTTTAAAAACAAGATTGCCCTTAAAGAATAAATGGCCATTTTCACATCATTCAAAACAGCTATATTAATGAGAATGGGACATTATTGGCATTAACTACCTGAACATCATTAAAAACACAATCCATCTTCAAAAGTAAAGAAGAATTCCCTGTTGACAATAACAGTGTTGTATAAAACATTTTGCTTTTGGACATATTTAGGATTGCTGTTTATTCCATGAGAAAACATCATTAAAAATAGGCATCATTGCAGGGGGGGGGGGGGGTTCCCTTCGTAAACATAAGTAAATTAGAGCAGTAAATGAAAATGAGGAATATCAGTGCTCAAACCCGACTTGCATAACTTTTTATGAGGGGTATTTACATATCAATACACTAGCCAGAAACTTACCACAATCAAATCGCTTCTTGATCCAGAAGGAACATCCTTACATCCAGGCTCCTATTTGTAGGACATAAACAAAAATGACAGGGGCATCGTTCATGGCAGGTAATACAAATGGAAGTAAACATTAGAAAATCATAAGTTTGAAAACAATTTATAGGTCATGTTGTACAATGTAATTATTGTTACAAGAATATCATTTCATTTCATTGATTGGTTCGACCATTTTTTTAAAACAAACATTTAAAATCACAAACGATGTTCGAAAGATATATTCAAAACATATTTGACATACAAAGTAAAAATGGTAGAATCATTGACATATAGTAAAGACGTGCTTAAGGATATGTCAGGAGGAATAGGGTTCCAAATAACAGAAAAATTGTTTCTTACAGATTTAAAAAATATAGTTGTTTCCTGGCCAAAATTTAAATGAGTCTCGCCCACGAGTATTATAATAATGAACATCATTAAAACACCAGAAAGCAATCAGTGAAAACTGAAGAAAAAGGGAAGTGTAAAATACAAGCAGTTATGAAATTTGAAAGTATGCTCAATTAATCAGAAGTTGGATATCTGCAAAATATTTTAAAGTCTACAATTTTTTGGGTAGAGAAATAGTCATCAATTTCTACTTGTTTTCCAAAAAATCATTTTCTAGCACCTGTGTCCTATTGAACCAGGGAGTGCCTACTAACTCTTGATTATGTTGATCTTTCTTTAAAATAGATCTATTCCTTTGATCAATTAAGGATGGTTGTGTTGTGATAATTAATGGGAAGGCTTCTCACAAGAGAAAACATATAATTACAAAGTATTGTGTTTAACTCATCAACTTGAAAACTTTAACATGTCTTAAATGTCTTAGCTTTTATATAGAGTTCCCTTTAGATTTCACTATTTTGTTTCTTGCTTTTTTTTAAACCAACATAATAACAAGATGGACATCCACTTTCATGACTGGTGTTACATACAGGTACTTCCCTATTTTAAAAATCATTATCCTTATTGACAGAACTGTAAGCGATGTCAGAAAAACAAAACTTGTTCAACCTGAACAACAAGGAAGTCTACAGCTTTTTCAGGCTGGGGCAAAGACTGAGGTGTTACAGATACAAACAAAAAGCCAGATTCCTAACTTACAATACAAATTAAAAATAGAAAAGGACTTTCATTTGTGTAAAAAAAATTGGCAAACTTACAGTGCTAGTTGACACTCTCTTGGAAGAACAGCTCTGGAATCACTGGGAGCACCTCCATTCGTAATTCTCATCTCATTCATCTGCTAAGAGACAATGACCAAAACTTGTACATTCAAGAGATGCCTTAAATTTACATTACCTTAGTTTTAGCATAAACATCAAATTTTTCTTTTAAAATTGAAACCAATTATGTCATGTAGTGATTATTGAGCATTACTGGTATGACTCCAAACTTTAATAGCGCTCAGCAAGTTCAGCAAGCTCAGCAAAATAAAGTTGGAACTAAAGTTGATTAAAAATGGTAGTTTTAATTATTAAAATAGAAAACCAACATACTATTAAAAATACAAATTAGATAAATTGGAATGGTTTCTGTGACTAAATAATTCTGAAATTCATAAGATACATCTAAATTAGACTCTAGACCCAACTCCACTTCTCAACTAAATCTACAAACACCCAGTATGGGCACATCCTAGGTATTTACATGTATTCAGTATGTTGAGGTTTTATCAAGCTGATGGCCATGCCCTTACTCGCACTAATGTAGCCAGGGGACAGGGCGACACATGCCTCCTTAATAATGCTTTTGGATAAAACTTATTTGTTGTTGTTGGTTTTTATGGCGTTTTCCATAGTCATTGGTAACATTGGTAAACCAAACTGACGTTATTGGTACAACAAACTGACAGAATGCAACACACATACCAACAAAAGGTATAATTTACAAACAAAAATGGTAGAAGAAATACCATTTTCCAGTTGTGAATGTGTGAAAATTATCACAACTCTCTTGATTCACTCACACAGAATTGTTATCTTTAGTCAGTTGTAAAATGTGTCTGCCAATTTTATTTTGATTATATTTGGTTATATTTACATTTAGGTCCAAAGGATGAACAGGACAACATGATATGAGCTTAAAACTTAAGCATCATGCTCTGTTATTACATGTAGCTTTGAAAAAATTGTCAGAAAATTGATTATGATGTACCCACATCATGTGTGATTTACCAACAACAACAGTTAAAGAATACATTTTCAAACGGTAAAGTGTAAAATTGTCTCAACCTGCTTCCTTTGCTCACTTAAACAAAATGTACTTCCTGTCCTCCATCTGAATGAAATTTCTTTCAAGTTTGATGGAGTTCCAAAGGACCAACAGAAACAGAGTTTACTAATGTATACCTAGCATGATAATGAGCATAATTAATACAAGACCTGTTTGACAGTAATTAATTAAACCTGCAGTAAAGATGTGAAACAGGCAGGAAATCAGAGGACAATGATATTCTGGAATTAGATGACTTCCCTAAGCTGGGGGATGCAAAACCTCCCACTCCCTTCCCTTCCCCCAATTCAGGGCAACCAGCTCATATTAAGGCAGCAATTACTTGCCTTTAGCCACTTTTATTGGTTTTTCATAATTTGTTGATAAAATATCAAACATAAATCAAGTCAATCAAACAAAAAACAAACAAAATGCAGCAATACAACAGCATACAACAAAAACAGTGCTTCGTAACTATCTACATGTAATAAAAGCAGTCACTTTGTCTCTTCCACATATCTATCCTCTGTAATTAGAAAAAAAACAAGTGTCTAATTAAGTAGAGGGATAAACATTTTTGCATTTAAGTATCAAGTATGTAGAATTTGAAAGATTAAAAAAGCAATCATCATAATAATTTGCTTTCGTAGATATACAGACAGGATTACAGATCATAACAGTTAAATTTCCTTTTCTTCCAGAGAGGGAGAAAAAGAAAGTAGTTTAAAAAAAAGGTAGTTTCAGAAATTAATATACTGTACTCATAACTTAAATCTCCATTTCCGAAAATGAATTGGAAGTTTGTCATTTTTCTTAGCAATACGATATTCAATATCTTTGTTAACGGCAATACATGTACATGCTTTATAACCGTAAAAGGTTGGTGGTTTATTTTTGAATTTGCAAACATACATGTAAGTATAATATTTAGGTAAAAGAAACAAATATATTAGGAATTTATCGACATTATAACTAAACATCTTTTCAAATGTTGAAACATTTTGTACATCAGGCTTTTTGGTTTCCTGAAAAATAACTTTCATATTTTCATCCCAAATGTGTTTTACAATAGGAAATTCAATAAAAACATGTACCGGTATATAGGTTTCAGGGGCATTAATTGTTACAAAGGGAACAGTTGGGGGAGTCCTTTCTTTTGATTTTATACAAAAAATCATTCACACCTAGTGCTTTAAGAAATAAATTTGAATAGAAAGAGTGCATATATGTACTTATGGTGGATTTAAAATTATTTACATGATTTTTTTCACATTTGACCTCATCAGAGTTGTGAAAATCATTCCTAAATATCATTTGTTTGTATGGAACACCTGGTTTTAACATGACACTGTATGCATATTTTGGAATTTTCTGAGTTTTCAAAAGTGTGGACTGTGGTTCTAATTTCTTCAATAATTTCATGTGGGGTTAAGTGAGACTAACCACTCATTTTGCTTATTTTTCACATTCAAAAGTTGCATTTCCTCCTGTCCTGTGCACTACTATCATAATCAAGAAAAGGCTCCTCAAATAGTTTATTACCAGGGTGAGGAGGGTTGAGTAAATCACTAATAAACAGTTACCTCTGTCTAACCTAGCTATCCTGATATATGAAATGTTGCTTTCATTTTGAGCAAACGTTTCTATTCAACCAAATAAACTGACAAGAACCAATTGGGAAAAGGGTGAATCAAATTCAGCTTCCAAATTTTTTCCCCTAAATATATAACATGTTTGGAGAGACTTGGCCAATTGACTTGAGATTAATCTGTTAAGAACATATTCAGATGCATGTGTGTTCCATAGAATATCCTTACTATCACTAAAATTGTTACAAACAGAAATTTAATAGACTTCCACCAACTGTCATAATTATCATGAAGGAGCATTTTAACCCATGACATTTTTTTGTGAAACAGACGAAAGTAGGGGTCAATCATTCGTAAACCACCCAAAGAAAATTCATTACACATGTATTGTCTTTTGGCCCTACCATTTCCACCACTCTATATACATCTAAACAACAAAGTATTTAATCGTTTGAAAAAACTCTGTGGTATTTTAACACATAAGACAGAAGGAAGAAAAAAAGGAGTAGTGGCAACAATAGGGTCTTTACAACACAGAACTTCCCAACGAGGGATAAGATTCTACCAGCCAGCACTTTAAAGTCTTTTTAATGGATTTGAGTTTGGTCCTATGATTAAGTTCATATAGTTGATTTAAATTCAAAGAAAAATGGACACCTAAAGTTTTTAAAGTAGAGTTATTCCACTTTTAACAGTTAACAGAAAAGGAAATGCATAAGAGCCTTTCTTAGAACCAATCCATATTGCTTCTGAATTAGATATATTGAGCTTACAACCAGAGCTATCAGAAAAATTACCAATAGTGTCAAACAATCATCTAAAAGAGGTAACTGAGCCATTAATAAAAGATGTGGAATCATCTGCTAACAAAGATATTGTTATGTATTGCTAGAGGCATGAGCGTCCCTGGACGGTGTGTGGGCTCTATAAGTTTACACTATTATTACATTATTATTATATTTTCAATTGTTTAAACAAATTGTTGGCTTACACCCAGTAGATGCAGGTTCAAATCCCACTAGTTCCAAGATTTGTTCTGACTTGTTTTTTAATTACAGATCAATCAACCAATCTTTATTTACTGAGTGTTAGCCAGCAATTTGTTTAAACAATTTAAATTTCTCCCAGGAAGCATTACATTTATAAAGATATATATTATTTTCAACTGGTACTCCTTCGCTTTGAAAGTTTTGTCTAATAGTAAGAGCCATAGTTTCAATAACTAATAAAAACAAGTATGGAGATATGGGACTTCCTTGAAAAATATCATTTTCTCATGTTAATAGAATTTATCAAATTTCCATAATTACATACATAACTTTTTTGACCAGAATAAAACATTTATATCCAGTTAATGAATTTATTACTGAAATTAAATGCTGTAATACACCAAGAAGGAACTGATGAGAAACACTGTCAAAAGCTGTCTGAATGTCAAGCAGAACAATTGCACCTGGAATTTTCTTTGAGTCTGTATAAGATTCAATTTAAATCTGTTATCAACCAGAAATTGTTTCCAATATTCCTACCCTTTAAAAAAAAAGATTGGTCAGGGTGAATCAAGTATGACAGACATTTTTTCAAACGGTTTGCTAAAGTTTTGGCTAAAATCTTGTAGTCTACTGTTAATAAGGAAATAGGTCTAAATTTGGGTAGATAGGAAGTATCTCTATCTTTTTCAGGAATCAAAGTAATAACTCCATTCTTTTGAGAGGTAGACATTAGTCCATCCTGCAGAGAAGAAAATTTACACAAGTTTAAAAGCATATCAGAAAGGTCTTTCCAAAAAACTATATAAAACTCCACAGGTAAACTGTCCAGTGATGGTGATTTGTTATGACTCATTGAATTAAGTGTCTCCAACAATTTTTGCTTAGTAATGTGTTTTTCAAGAAAGTCTTTATGAACTTCATTTAATTGAGGAAGTTCAATGGAATCTAAGAAATTAACCATTATACCATCCAAATTATTATCATTGCATCTTCTCTTATACAGGGCTTGATAAAATGAATGAATTTCTCCCAAAATCGTTTGTTGATTTACAATAATGTCATTACTATCATTCTCTAATCTAAATATACTCTTCTTTTCTACAACTCTGTTTTATAAATTACAAAAATATCTGGAACTCTTCTTCAGTCCATTGGATTAGAGAACGAACAATAAAACCTTGGGTTTCTTCATTTTTTTTCATTATTTTTTGTCAAGAAGCTCAGTATTATCTATATCTGCACCTAATTTGATATCTAAATTCTCAATATCTTTCAATTTTTTTTAAATATTGATAATTCTCGGTTTCGTTTTTTCTGGGACGCAATGTATATATAAAGAGGTTTTGAACTGTGACATTCAGTAATTTTGTTTCACCTTCTTTGAAGCTTGGATTAAAAAGAGGGATGTTTTCACCAAACTGATCTGATAGTAATGAAATAAATTGATAACCAACAAAACTATTGTATATGGTATACACTAAAAACATAAATCCATTAACAGTCCCTCTGCTATGAAAAACCAGTTCAAATATTCATCATTAGTTGCCATATTTGTGAGAACAATAAACTTAAGAGCTACAGTGTTATTTTGGGCAACTGAAAAGTCATGCATAAAGTAATAACAGTAGACTTGTATTATACAACATAACAAATCCTGGTTATTACTGCAAGTTTTACAGGTTACATGATACTGTATTTTTCATCTCAAATGTTGATCACTATCTTTTAGAGTACCGGTAAGTTTTCTGGTAGTTTCATTTAGAGTAAGTTTTCTTATACATATATCTTTTAGAGCAAGTT